CACTGAGTGGTAAACAGAAATCTTCTTTTTCATCTGCATGTACCCAGTTTTGCTTGGGCTTTTGAGAAGGTAGGAGATTGGTGAAGTTGACTTAGGAGTGTGTGATGAAAACAATGGTCTTAGTAACTAAAATGTACATTTATTGACCTCTGTATTTACAATAATGAAACTGCCATACACAAAATAATTGCTTGGACTAAAGTTGACAGGAGGTGGGACCGCGACATGTTCGATCCATAGACATAACATTATATATTTGTCACTTTTCCACATCTGAATCATTGCACCTTTCTCACATCTCTCCAGTGGCATCATCATCTACAGGATAAGAGCTGTAATTTGATACCTGAATATATTTTTAGTCCCAGCTGTTTACTCAAATTAAGTTGGACATACTGAAACCCTCTTTCAGTTAATATATATATTATTTAACTTCCTATAAGAGAATTACATGTTTAAAATCTACTAATACACTGAACCTATCTTGAAATAATCAGTGTTAAAAACTTTTTATTCTAAATATATTATTGTATTTTACTACTGGAAATTGGATGTACTCTGTTAAGTTTTCATTTTTCTAAAATCAATAATAATGATGAATATACTCTTAATAATTTTACTGTTTATTATAATTTTAACAAATTGCATTCATTTGTTAAAAATATTTATTATTATTTGTTACATAGATTATTAGAATATGAAGTATAAAACTATTAAATATTTGAGGAAAAAATTGTAATTTATTTGATTTATTTTGATTAATTTATACATATTAAAAGTATATAACTTAAATACATGTAATGTATTTAAAACTTTTTTAAAATACATTTTATCCTTAGTGAAGTTATGATTTTATTTGAAATATAAAATTAACAGTAATTGATTTTGATACTATTAAATTTTAGTTATAGATGTTTTAGACAACTTTGTGTATCTCATGTTCTTCATCTTCTGAAAATCCTTTATCATATAAGGTTGAGAAATTTTTATGGTCGAAATCCATATGAAATATTAATTGGTGACATGACATCAGCTAGGACCCAACAGAAATAGCACCCCATTCTGAATTTCCAGATTGGAGTGAGGATTGAGATGGGTATAATTAGATAGTTTTTCATAAAAAACAATTTTTGTTAAGAAAATTTATCATCTGCCATTTACAAAAGAAATCAAACTTATCTTTTTTCACTTTCATGTATGTCATCCAATTGATAAGGGCCAGTAAGGCCAAAATGCATTTTGATTAATTTAATTAAATAGACTGGATGTGTAATAAGCTTGTTCATTAGTTATAGTAACTAAATAGTTTTTGTAATTTTCTGTTTTGCTCTTTACTGACCACACTTACATAATAATAAAAGGAGCATATTGCAGCAATTTAAAAGTTATTGTCTGTTGACTTTTATAGCTTTTAATTTATGTCTATTTCTTTTTGGTAATTGGGCTGCAATTTGAAAAAATTGTAGACCTATAAATTCCTACTGTCATCCATTTTCAAGATGGATGACAGCAGGAATTTATAGTTCTTAATCTTGAAAATGGAGTTAGATAGATGAAAGATGAGACCAGATATGGAAACTTTAGGAGCAGGAGGCCTCAATCAACTATATACAAACTTCCAATGCAATCTGGAATTAATGTTATTTCAATTCAAAAATTTTCTTCCTGAAAGGTGTTAGATAGATGAGCAGCACGACTTTGTTGTTAAAAGTATGATGTACAGGGCAAGACACTACGGTACTAATTTAAGGTGGAGAGCATGTATTTTAAAATTAAATAAATTTAAAATATGATTAAAAGTTGAAGCCCAGCCTTATGATAATGTCACAATAAGTAATTGTTTCTAAAACATTCATTTATCCCATAAAAATCATATGCAGTAATGAAGATACTTTTAATGTGGTAAAGATATTGGTTGAATGTAAAATAAATTTCAGGGTTGTGTAATGTCACTTTACTTAAAAATCCATATTGTATGCATTTCATGTGTCATGTATTACAATGTTTGATGATGTAAGTACACAAAACTAGCCACATTTAACTGCAGACAGCTGCTATTTACAAATTAGATGGAGAGTCAGAGAAGAAAGAGTGGTAGAAGTTTTCACTACAGTTATGGTTAACTCTCGGGATCCATTCTAAGAATACCTTTGAATTCTGATGTAAGCTGTTTGAGTGTTTGGAAAATTTTATATGACAATGGAATACAACCATTTCACAAAGCAATGCATCAGGAACTTTGCTATATTGATTTGCAAAATTGTTTTGAGTGCTGTCACTGAGTGGTAAACAGAAATCTTCTTTTTCATCACAAATTGTGGTTGAATGAAGTAATATTCAAAAGCAGTGAAGATGTCAATATCTTCAGCATTCATTATTGGACAGCAGAGAATGAGCACTAGCTTAGAGAAATGAACATTCAGCATGTGTGAAGCCATGATACAAGGTATGGTATCATTGGAGATCAAATAGTCAGTTCTTATTTTTTTGAAATGACTTTTAAATGGACAATGTTGTGCAGATTTTCTTGTTAATAAGCTTCCAGAATTTGCAGAAAATATGCTGCTGATGATAGATAATCAAAATTCCATTATGATAGTTGCCCAGTACATTTTACTTAGAATTATTTGTCAAATTTTGGATTGAAGGTTTGGATTGAAAATTGTGGATTGGAAGAAATGGCCCAGTATCATAGTCACCACAATTATCTAATTTAATATGCATTGACTGCTGGGTGAGGATTAAAGATATTGTGTTATCAGAGATGTCCTATAATGTATGGACAAGAAAACAATTTACAACAAATGAAAACATCTATCAGATTATCATTCAGGTTTTTCTGAATTATAGTCTGATAGATAATTAAAACTGAGGTTATCTATTCACAAGTTGTTTTCCAAGAAAGACTTCTAAAATGCTTAGAACAAAACACACACACTCAGTTCACATTAGCAACAACTTTAGTTATTGACTGTACATAAAACAAAAATTTTTTTTGCTATTTATTTTGTAAATGGTAGCAGATAATGAAAAGTTGTTTAACAAAAGTTATTTCTTATGAAGAGCTCTATTCAAATAGACTGGATTCAACTCCTCTTCCAATATGCAAATTCAGAGTTAGGCTCAGTTAGTTCTGTTTCTGCTGCATCCTGATTGACACTAATGTCACCAATCAATTCCTTTTATGAGCTTTGATTATAAGAAAAATTCTGTAACTTACTATGATGAACAGTTTTAAAGAAAAATATGGTGTGGGATGGTCTGAAACAATTCTGTGTATATATAATTGTACAGTAAAAGTAAAAAGTAATGACAACAGTAATGGAACACCTACATTTTTCTTTGTAAAGTTTAATAGGATCATTAAATATATTATTCCTGAAGATCACACACAAATATTTGGAATATTTATATGTGATCTTCAGGAAGAATGCTAAATATGGAATACTTCTTGCATTATTACTATTTGCTAAATATAAAGATTTTCTCTAGTTGTAACATATTTGTTTTGGAACTATTAGTTGTTTTTGCTCTTAATAAATTTTTTCTTATGTCTCATGACTTTGGTCATGACATTTTCTTGAATTTTAAGTTAAATTATTTTTGTATTTAAAGATGGAATAGATGAACCTGAACCAGTTCATTTTGTGTTTTTTTGTAAGTTTTCAAATGAATAATATATATAACAATCTATCAATTTAAAAGTTACAAAGAAAAATCTTTCCCCCATTACTACCACTGTATACTATTATGTCTATCACTATACATGCATACATACAACTGGGTATAAAATTATACAGTATAAACAAGATATCTTTTTATTTATCTTTTAAGAAAATATCTTTCTATTTTAAATATTTTTTAATGACTGAGATATTTTAACATGTGGTTAATGTTTGTAGTGTTCGAGCTGTATTGGAGGGAACAATGGGAAAATCTTCAATGTGTGAGTATTATTTTAATAGTATTATAGATGAGTATTATAGATGTTCAAGGGTGTCCAAAATGTTATACACTACACTTTATTTTTGATCAAAATTATTACTATTAATAAGAAATAATAGATGAACAAACTCAAAAGGCTGTATATTTAAGAATTGTTAATTTTTGTGATATTGCATGATGGTCAAAATGACTACAATTTTATTTCTGTTGCATATCTTCCTTGCACCCATAATGGCTGTCTAACTGTTCCTATTTGAAATAAACAATGTGTGTATTTTATTAGTTTTGTTCACTGTTGTTTATGAATTGTATGTCATTTATTTTATCTGTGGTTAACTTGACCATTATGCAACCTATGAACTATTTATTTGTGGTCATTTCAACCTTTTTTTTTCTACTTGATCTTTTTAATTTTGTGTGTGTGTGTGTGTGTGTGTGTGTATATATAGTATCTATTACATGTTATTTGATAACTGCATTATAATATATCTGGAAGAAAAGTTACATGTAAGGAGACACATTAGAAGAAAAAATTACAGAATCTTTAATTATAAAAGGGAATTCAATTTAAATTAGAAAAACTGGTTATACAGTTTTAATCATATTATTTTAAGATAGTTATATTAGCTTTTACAAAGAATACATTATGAAAAATCTGAAGTAATTTAATAATGTGTTCTAAAGTTAATAATGTTTGGGATTTTATGATCATTAATGTTAATATATTTTGTTATAAAATTAAAACTTTTATATTTTTAAAATTTCTTGGATAATTATTTTTATTAATTATGATAAGAATGAATTATATGATTATTAATAAAATACAGGTCAGCCACTGATTTTCTGGTATAAATTGATTTGAAAGTTTTACAGAATCAACTGAGGTCATATAATAACAACAATCAGTCCTGTAGTCAGAAGTAAATCATTTGAGAGACTAGAGGGGCTAGCTGAAAAAATTATGACAGATATTAAACCAAACAATTGCTGTAATTAATCAGGCTATTATTATTAATCAGAAATTAAGTAATTTGGTATGAGGTAATACCAAATTACTTAATTTCTAATTATTAATAATAGAAAAATAGTGGCCTGAATTGCTTTAGTATCAGTGCATCAGGCTTCAGAATGTTTATTGTCTATTTTTGACAGGTACTTCTTTCTTTTACAGTCTGCACTAGGCCTACTAACTATAGTCCAAGTGTTTAAAAAAGTAACAGTAGCCTAAGTTTACATGATGAAAGAGAAAGTATGTAATGGGACTACAAACTAAGATGGCTTAATTACTTCATAGCTCCCATAGCTACTGTTCTGATAGCAGTACTACAAATTATGAGGATCTTTTGATAAGTATGGTAAAAAAGCAAGTTAAAGAAAGATTTTTTTCCAAAAATCTCCATTGAGATTATGTTGAAAAATATGGCTAGACACTTTGTCCAGTGAGTTTCCAATTTTTTAATCCCATCAAAAAAGTACTTTTTGTCAAGGTTAAAAAATATGCATTGATGACAGCAATGTCATCCTTATTCAATGAGAATTTCTTCCCACTGAGCCAAATTTTTAAATTTGGGAACAGGTAGAAGTTGGATGGGGCCAAGTCTGGAGAATAGGGTGGATGAAGAATCAATTAAAAGAGTAATTTGTGTATTTTGAAAAAAATTGAATGAACTAAAAAATTACACAGAATAGAGACATCACCAGCTGCAATGTAGACAATTTGAGTGAATACACACTACAAATAAATATCACTGTTGTCATTCAGTAAACCAGTATAGTAGTTGCAGGAATTAGAAATTTCTTTCTAAAGAGGTGCCAGACTTTTGGTTGTTAATTAGAAAGTCAGTTGTGAACCTGTATTGATAAAAACATTCATTTAAAATGATAAGATTTAAATTTTGAAACAAATTTGAATTTTTTAGGTTCTACTTTCAAGACGAAATGTTGTGAACCAGATGCCCCACATCCTCCCAAACTTGTTTCAAGGACCAAAAACAGTATCATTTTAAAGTGGAATGTATGGAAATTTATTTATTTTTATTTATTTATTTATAATAATTAATTAATATTTAAAAATTTTTTTAGGCTTCTTCAGATAATGGTGCAAAGATCGTTAATTATATTTTAGAATATGATGAGGTAATATTTTTATGATAAAATTAAGTTTAATTTACTGAAAGTTTTTATCTATATTTTTATTATTTAATATTATATTTTAAAACGTTTTATCAATCTCATTTATAAATTTGTATTATAATTTTTTTGAAGGGAAAGGGAAATTCTGAATTCATTGAAATATTCAATGGTTTGCAGAAGAACTATAAAGTAACAAAGCTGAAAGTGTCAACATGTTACAGATTTAGGCTAGCTGCAGTTAATGAAATTGGAAAAAGGTAATTTTTAAAAATTTTATAGAAAAAAATATAATTATGACTGAATTGACTCTTAATAATTATAACCAGTGGTATACAGTCATTTACAAAAAGTTACTCACCCAGATAGAATTGTTGAATTAATGCAAAACTTGGCATACAGCTAATATGTAAAATATTACAGTTGTAAGGTGATTGTATGTTAGATAATGACATTAGATGGCCTTAAAATTGCTACCCCATTATTATATGAAAAAGCATTACAGAGGCTTAATGTTTAGAATTTTTGTTGTAATTTCTGTCTGGAGGTTTTCAAATGCCAGGCAGTGCAGTCAGATATTATGCACAGTTGATGGAATTTGAGAAAGGCCACATCTTTGCTTGAGGAAAGCAGAATGATTGTCTTCATGAATTGTCTACCATCTGGACTATTCTGACTGGTTGACTGAGGAAGTGTTACAAGTAGTGAATATATGAGGGTGCACCTAAATGGCAGACAGATCTGGATTTCTCAGACATCATCAGGAGAGATGATTTTCTGATTATGAGATAAGTGCAAACAACAGCAATGGCATTTTTGTCCTTCATTCAGAGGTAGGTGAAAGTTTTCCTACAGAATCCTGTTTCTTCCTATATCATTGACAAGTGACTTAGAGGCAAATGTGCATATAAGACAATTGCTATGCATTCTATCATTACCCCTCCAACATCATCTGCTTTGCAGTGGTGCCTGCAAGGTACTAAAGATTTCTTTAAATTATTTTGTTATTCCTCAGGATATTACACCTTTGCTATGATACTGCAATCACTTATCATTGTCGTTACATTTGCACTAATAGTTTTGTTCAATTTCAATGCCTTTTCTGTGTGTAAGGCTGGAGTCACACTTACAGAAAAACATTAGTGAAAACGTAAACTGAATGCCAAATCCAGAAAAATTTTACATCTCTGACGTGTAAATTTTCTAGAAAATCGACTCGAGAGGTGCTCAGTGGAAAATTTTTTCTGGCCGTAAGGTGTAGATGTTGACCAATCAGATCCCTGGAAGTGATGACATGTTTATGTCACTGATGTTGCTGCTATGCTGAAAATGAGAAATTGCATGAGCTGCCCAATGGCCATATTGACACATGTTGATAGTTGCGTTGATGCTTCAAAATCATGGAAGCTCAGAAAGAAAAAAGTTAAAGGTAACCGAGAACCATGTTTAGCTTGAAATGGTGGGTGCTGGAATGAATGTAGATGAAGTGCTGCTAGTAATATGACTGACATTAGATGGTGAAGAAGTTTGTTATTCTTTTTATTCCATTTTTCTTTTCTTTTATGATTTTACGTGCGAAACATGGAATTCATACTGAACAGAAAATTGCCATTACGGTTACATTAGCTTTTTTTTTTTCTGTGACTCACATTAGCTTTTTTTTTTTTTTTTTCACTGAATGTGTGTGTAAACTTATGTAAACAACTTTGCCAATCTAAGATATTTATTTAAAACTAATTTGACTTTACAGTTTAAATATTATTGGTAAATATGTATAGGATATTTAAGATTTTTTTTATTTTTGAAGGTTTTTCCATTAATATCTTTATTTTAATAAATAACAGGAAAATATAATTGAAGAATAGTATAATTCTCTTAATTTTTTTCTATATTTTTTATCACATGTAATTACAAAAAACTTTAATGATATATTAAAACTTGAATTTTATAAACTGTTAAGTAGAAAATTTGAAATAATAGCCATTATATTGATAGTAATTATTCATTCAGTTTATTATAGTTTAATAAATAGGACATTGTGCAATTTTGTTGTATTATGATAGAATTGAGGAGGAGCCAGAAAGAAAGATGTGATCTTTGCACTTGCTGCCCACTCAGAGGCTATTCTTGCACTGGCAGGCACAGAGAGACAATCCTTGCACTAGCCAACATGGAGAGGCTGTAAAGTATTATATTATTTTTACAACGATTAGCAACACGACTGTGTGCCGGAAATAGCCGTTACCTAATGGTACTTTACGCAGATTTGCGTTAATGTGCCAGGCCTGGACTTTAAGCATGCACCGAATTAAACAATGACAAAATTAGTAAAAAAAAATAATTCAATATCTAATAAAGTTCTAGTAATAACTATATACAAAATTTAGTAAAAATCAAATAACAATTTATTCAACGTAAATCAATAAGAATCAACCCGACAAAACTCAAATCAATCTATATTCTAACTTAATTCTATTCCCCTTTGGAATTTGACAAAATTTCAAAGACTTAACTTATATACAATAATTCTTATGAATTAAAGGTCCTAATCATCACTTCAATATACTAGGAATGTTTTTCCTCAACTCTCAAGACTTTCTCTAATCTTTGATCTACAAATTGAATAACTTCAAAATCGCCTTGTAACTATTTTTTCCTATTGGACACCTCTCTCGTTTGCTGCTACGAAGCTCACCAACGCTCGTTGCTAACAGAAGCTCACCTTGTCTATTTTCACTTGAGGTTCGGTCTTTATACTGTGAGGTGATGTCACAATTCTGAGTGCAATCATTCCTTTCATTTACATACTTATTGCTAACAATAAATTTTTCTTGTTTGTCTGGCAGCCTATTTTCCGACAATACTCGCTAACCTTTTACATTATTCTTCTTGACAATTTTCGGGATGTTTATTCTTTAAGGTTTAGCAAGTTCCTAAGTTGTGCTTGTGGGGTCTCCCCCCTTTTCTCGGTGTGGAATTACTTTTTTCCGCTCGGGAGCACAAGTGTGCGCGAATTTTTTTCTACGGTGCTTTTCTCTCGTCAGTGAGTTGGTTTCTCTTCTATTTTCAAAGTTTTAAGGTGAGTAGTGAGGAAATCTTTGTCCTAACAAAACATAAGCTCCAAACAAAATAGAATAAAAAGCAAAATAAAAATTAAATAAAAATAACGCTTGGACTTGGTTCCTTACAAGGCAATCCAAAACAAAGTATCAAAAATTGGCATCAATCACTTTGTCCTTGTGTTTTATTTATTTTCTTTTTGTTAGCCACACACAATGTTGGTTTTTTTTATTTTTTCCTCTAAATTCTGTTAGGCATGCTAAATTTTATCAGGAAGCAGAGACATTGTCACTTTGATCCTACTGTATCTTGAAAACAAAGTTAGGGATCACAATTTTTATTATATATTTGGATTTCTCATTGCAGATCAGTGAAAAATGGCAAAGTTTTGTCAAAATCAAGCCATCAAATTTTGAAAACAAACTCAATCCTGTAAGCCTGTAGAAAACATGCTAGTGACCTTGGGACATCTCCCAACAAAGTTGTGCAATATTGCTTTGTTGCGTGTGCTCATGCTAAGATCTTATATCTCAAAAATGAAGTCATGATCCCCATTTTTTATTACATTTTTGGATTCTTCATTCCAATTAATGAAAAATGGCAAAGTTTAATCAAAGTTAATCAATGAAATTTTGAGATTGAATGCAATTTAAGCTGTACAGAAGAGGCTTCTCTAATGCTCCACCTCAATAATTTTTAATATTTCATGTTTTTGTATATAAGGATGTATACTTAAGTAAATATCAGCGTGTATACCTATCATTCCTGATTATTTGTTTTTCTACGAGTAGTAGTGCTCAAAGTCAGCCTTCACCACCTGTATTAAAAGATGCATCTATTAATAGACTTTCGTTAGAGTGGGAGTAAATATCAGTATACACCATATTAGCATATAATGCAAAGATGACACTTTTTAATACTCTTGTGGATTTGGCCAGGCCAACAGTGAGGATGGGCTTATCTGGGACAGATTGCCTATGAAAAATTTCTAGGCTTGTACAGTACACGTGGATTCGATCTCAAGTTCAGAGTAGAAGGCTGACTCTTTAACTGTCTTGGTCATCTGGTTGTCATGTTTTAATAATTAAATACAGAATGAGTAACAACAAATCAACAATATATTTGAAAAACGTAAATATAATGAATACTTTGTAATGTCTTTTAGAGTATAGGGTATTTATATACAAAGCATGTTTTGCTTGTATTTTTTATATAATTGTAACAGATTAATCTAAATTTAAATTTATATTTCTAATTGAAATACAAATTTAGATTAATCTGTTACAATTACATAAAAAATACAATCTGGTAAGATTTAAAAATTTTTGATGATGATAAATATTCAAGTATCAAAAGATAACTTCTATGCCAAAATTTCAATAAAATAAGTTACAAAATGTTTGCAAATATTTGCTAATGGCTTCATTATAAAATATTGGTTGAAATAATTTTTATATATAATGATGTGTTTATTTAATTGTATTTTAATATATATATATATATTTATTTTTTTTTTTAATACTTGCAGTGATTATAGCGAAATTATTTGTTTTTCTACGAGTGGTAGTGCTCCAAGTCAGCCTTCACCACCTGTATTAAAAGATGCATTTATCGATCGGCTTTCGCTAGAGTGGGAGAAAAGGCCATTTGATGAAGAATTTACTCTTCAAGTTGAAGATGAAACTGCTGTGAGTAATGATGTGCATTTTTAAATTTAAATAAGAATTTTTTTTAATGCTTATGAAAATGAAAAAAATGCGTATCAATTTTTGTTACTAATTTAGGAAGTTGGTTTCCTTCCTGTATGTAATACTGCAGAAAATGCATTTGTGTGTACAAATTTAAAGAAGAACAGCAAATATAAATTTAGAGTAAGTAAATATTTTCATACTGGAAAGCTATATAAAATCATTTTAATGGAAAAATTTTTAATGTAAATTTTTCAATGAATTGAAATTACATTGATATATTCAGCTAGTCCCATTTAGGACCATTTATACTTTACAAGAGCTCAAACTAATACAGTAAGCTCTTGGTAACTTGAAGTGGAAGGGAGAGAGAATTTGTTAAAAAATTTAGTTCTCAAAATTTGTTGGTTTGTGTTTAAGAATAAGATTGTTACTTTAGGCATGAAACATCATTAAAATTTTGTATTTTATGTTGGAGGCATAATTTTATACAATAGTAATATTTGTGATATTGTCTATTCCCTCAAAAATGCAAAGAAAGCACATAAAATTAGACATTAAATAAAGTTAAATCCAGATCTTAAATTTTGAGTTTGTGAAATGTGATGTCAAAACTATTTCAATTTATAGAAACACAGAATGCATTGAATCTGTAGGAGTTAAGTCAAAACAGAAATAAAATTAAAAGTTAAGGAAGTTTAACTCATTAGGATTCTATTGTATATTCAAAAAGATATTTTAATGTTCAAATAATTGATTGCATGTGCTAATTGTATGATACAGCAATAAAATGTTAAATATAAATGCTAATGATACTGCAATAAATATATAATTTATATAGCATTAGCTAGTAAGTTTTTATATCATTAACTATAATTTAGATTAGTACCCACTATTGTAATAAAGTTAAAATAACTTAATTTTTATTTGCTTAATTTATTATTAGCAACAAAAATAAAATCAATTGTGAAAATTGCAATGCTTTCACAGTACAATTTTTGGTGTCTTCAAATATGTTTATCGTCCTGTATGTTTCTGAGGTTTTGTGCTAATAAAATACCATAATACCAGTATTGTATGGTATATAAGATACAATCTCATTTCAGCACAGAATATTTAGGAAAAAATATTTAATGTATTCACGCCATCCCATGCTTTTGGCATTTAGCTCCAAAATTATTACTGTATTCTGGTTAAAAAAGTTAGAATGAATGATTATTTATCAGGAAAACGAGAGTTTAAAATAAGTTGTGTCCAATTAAAATTTACCATTAAAATATTTAACATGAATACATGTAAAAGCTGCTTTGCTGTAGCAAAATAGTAATAAAAATGATATGTTTAAGTATTAACATTTTTATTCAATAGTTTGGCTAAGTAGATGTTACTTATAGCCTACTGAGATTTCATTAGCCTATGGAAGATTATAACTTCACTTATAAAATGGCAAGACAATTTTTTTTTTAAATGACAAGAAGTACTGGCTAGTAGTAAGATTCTCTTCATAAATCTGGGACTACCTACATGTCCATGGTTTCTGGACGATAAAATTTTTTCAATTATTATTTTAAATGTCAACAATATTTTATATAAAAACTAAATTTGTTTCATATTTAAGCATTACAAAAATTTAATATATATTTTTAATACATATATTTTTTTTTCACAAAAAGCTACACTTTCTCTGGAATGTTAATTTTATCATGTGTTTTAATTTGTATCAATTTTATAATTTGTCCTAAATTAATGTAGATTATAGATTTTTATATTATGAATATTTTAAAACTTGTTATAGCTATGTGCTACTAATGAAGATGGTAGTAGTCCATGGAGCAAAACTGTTACATATTGTACTATACCAGACAGACCATGTAGACCTACACATCTTCAAACAAAAGGTCATATTGGCCATAGTTCTTTTCATGTAGTTTGGGGTGAGTGATTTATTTGCAGAATATTTAAATTTATTGAAAAAATTTAACACACATTTTACTAAGTTTGTTTTTTCAATTATGCATTTAACAGATCCACCTATGGATGATGGTGGTTCACCCATTACTGCATATGTGCTAGAAGTAGATGCTGGAAAAGGTATTTGATTTTTATGACATAAATCTTTGTAACTGATATTTTATATGTAGTAACTTATAGATAAAAGTAACATTAGTTTTTTATTGCTTTGTTTTAATATGCTTTTTGTATCCTAAAGCAGTTTTGTTCATTTGGTACCCACTGATTAAATCTGCCTTATACATTTTTCACTATAATCCACTTATAATAGATATTTATGGGTTTTAGAAATGGGTTATCATAATTAAAACAAATAAATGAACAAAAATGAGCATTATATATGCAAAATATATTCTTTTGTTTTTGAAATATTTAATATTTTTGTCTATTACATATGTTAAAATGAAAACATTTATGGAGAAGACGTATTAGTGTGTGATATTAAAAGGTTATTAATTTTCATCAGGTGAAATCGATTCTATAGTCAGGAAAGATTTTTCTTAGCTTAAAATTAAAAAAAAAACATTTTAGTTCATTATAATTTGTGTTGTAGTCAGTGTAACATTTTTTTATTATTTTCAAACTAAAAATAAAAAAAGAGCATTCATAAATTGTAATTTTCCAATATTTTTGGTATCTTAACATAATATATTGGGTTGTTTGGAAAGTAATTTTGTTTTTTTCTGTAGAAAAAAAAACATTGTTTTTATAATAAATAAATATTTTATTGAATTATATATCAACCATTTTGGTCAAATACCTATTGTCATCGTTTCTGGTAGTAGCATGATTTCAAATTCATAAAAGTTTTGATCATTGCTTACAAAAACCTGATCCAAGTGATTTTTGACATTATCATTTCAAGTAAATGTCTTACAGTTAAAAAAAAAATTTGTATAGACCAGAACAAGCAATAATCTGAGTGTGCTCGATCTGGCAAATATGGTTGGTGTGATAGCACGTTTTATCTAAGTTATAACAGTTTCTGACGAGTTACCAAACTTGTGTGTGAAATTTGACATTATCGTGGTAAAACACTAAACCTGTTTTGTTGATCAATTCTGGCCACCTTTTCTGTTTGATGATATTATTCAATTTGTTTACTCGATGGCAGTACACTTTCGAATGAATTGTTAAATTGTCTGGTATAAGCTCCAAAAAAAAATTTCCTTAAAATCCCACCAAAGAGAGCATCTCTCTTTAAGAACACGTGGAATCCATATATCAAGCTTTGAAACAAAACCAATTTGTTTCAAGTAATCATAAACAGTTCAATTTGACAAATTTAATCTCTTAGTGATTTCACATGTTGTTATTCGGCAGTTTGCTTCAATCGGACCTTTATTTTGTTTTCATTGGCTTCAACTGGCCATCCAGAACGTGGTGCATCTTCAATATTGAAATTGCCAGAACAAAATTCTGTAAACCAGTTTTGACACTGTTGTTCTGTCAATACATCTTCTCCATACGTGTCACACAATTTTTTTCTCGCTTGAACAGCATTCTTACCTTTTTGGTAATAAAAGAGCAAAATATGCCGAAAATGCTACTTTTGATCTTCCATATTCTTGGGAGACAAAAAAAATAAACAATTGCACAAAATCAAACAAAATTTTTTACAAATAAGCCTTAAAATGCTAGCTGTAAAAATATATAATGATAATATGGTTTAGAATGAAAATGGCGGGAAAAATACAACTAATTCATCTAGTGGTAAAAAAAACAAAATTACTTTTCGAGCAATCCAATATATTAAATTTTAGTTCAAAAGAAAAGAATATTGTAATATATGAAATAGTAAGAATTTATAAAAAAATAATTTAATATGCAATTATTCATGAAATTTAAAATATTTAAAGGTTATAAAATTAACTATATTGACTACTTACTATTTATATAAATCAGTTCAAATTACTTCATACTAGACTATACTATTGTTATCACTATAATAACTATGTTATAATTTATTTACTTAAAATAATTATAAAATTTTTCAAGAAAATACTATAGATTCTTTAATTTTTAATATTATTTCTGAAACATTAACAAATTTCAAGGAATGTTTGGTTGACATCAATAGTAAATCTTAATAGCTGATAAAAAAATACATATGCCTTTTTTTTAAATCAGTTATTATGTATTTTAGACAATACATATTACATTTGAATTATCATTTCCTTATAACATGTACAATTACAATTTAAATTAATGATTAATAATATAATTTATTATAATCTTAAAGAAATTTGTATATACTAAAATTGAATAAACTATTATATTTGTAGGTTTTGAAAAAAGATTTAATGGGTTGCAGACAGAATATGTTCTTGAGAATCTTCAACCTGGTACCACATACTCTTTAAGGGTTGCCTGCCAAAATGCAAGAGGACAAAGTGAAGTATGTTTGTAAATTTTATTCTATTTAAATTACAAATGGAGAATAATGTGATATAAAAAAAAAGTGATATAAAGTAATAATGTGATATTAAAAAAAGTTAACATTCTAGTTAAAACTGATTATTAGATATTATCAGGAAAAATCAGTTTTAAATAATTAGATATTGCAAGGAGATTGCAATTTTTAACTAGAAGTCTATTTTTACAAATGCATTATATAAATATGAGTAAACTTTTATTAATATTTTGAATATTATTTAACCTCTAACAGTGAAATATTCTTAATGTTTTAGTAAAGCTAAATTTTAGCTTTCTGAAATTAAATATTTTTCAATGTCTCTTTAATTTCTTAATTAAAAATTTCAGAATTAAAAATAAATTGAACTTTTGGTAGTGCCTCACAATTACTATAATTGTGAGCATGCATACTTTTGAACATTTTTTATACTTTTTTGAACATGTGTTATATGCCTGTTTTTGGATGGATTAGAACAAACTGTCTCAAAATATTGGAGTATGTAGGTGAATGCTATCAGAATTTTTAAATGACACAACATAAACAATGAATCAATATGCATTCTGTATTAAACTTTACTGAAATATTTACTTTACTTAAAGAAACATGTAGTAATGACATGTTGTGTAAGCAAGTGGCCTAAATGTGTTCAAGAAGACTGTGAAAGCAAAAGAAAATTCCAGGTAGACCAGCTCATGAACTGCAAGAAATAAAACTGATTTTCTCAGTTCACAAAGAGATCAAGAAAGACCATAGACAATCAATAGGTTATCTTATTGATATTTTGGAAATTTTGCATGGTTCTGTGCACACTATTCTTCATGATGACTTAAAAATACATTAGTCTGTTCTCACATTATTCTGAAGAAGTTAACAAATGAGTGATGTGAAGAACAGGCCCTCAGCAAGGAACTGATTGACAAACCTAGATATCTTAAATAAAATTATTGATTACTGGCATTGAAAACCCAGAGTTTCTTGTATGATCTATGGAGGAAATGAGCATCATCAACATTCATTAACAAATTGACTTCTTAATCAAGGCAGAAAAATTTCATCTTGACAGATCCAAGAGGAAAACAATGCCTGTAGTTTTTTTATGTGAAAAGCCTAGTGTTTTAGGAGTTTGTTTGTGTTGGTAGATTCATTAACAAGGAGTCCTATATTGACATTCTTGGTTAGCTCCATGATGCAGTAAGTGTGCTCTGTGCTCATCTGTAGCAAGCAAAAAGCTAGGTTCTCCATTGTGACAATGCCCTAGTGCACTAAACTTTTCTAGTGAAAATCTGGCAGAACAACAGATGCCTGTATTTCCACAGCCTCCTTAAATGCCAGACTTCATTCTTGCAGACTATCATGTTTTCACCAAAATAAAGGCTCAGTGATTGACCACTAAAAATTGACCACTGAAGGGTCAATGATTAAAATTAATAGAAGAGGTGAAAAATGCTACAACAATTGAAGTAATGCAGAATTGGTTACAATATTGCTTTAATATTAATAAATAGTATGAATGTTAGCAAAAATGTGTAGCTGCAGAACATGCTTATTTTGAAGACAGTCTTTTATAAATACTTACATACTATTGACATAATACGTCATATTAAAGGTTTGATTATTTTTCACTTTACTGTGACCAGAGGGTTGGCACCTCTGATGCCCTGTCAGGAATGACACCACTGTGTTCTGATGGATGTGGAAGCCATGACAGCGAATCGGTTTGGATTAGAGTAGGTCACGCGAGCAGCCGTGAGTGAGCCATCAGATTCAGGATGGAGATAGCAGATAGGAAGTGACTAATGCAGAGACGAGGTTAACAAAACAGATAACTGTTTATTTGTAAAGGAAAATACATTTTATATCATTAAATGAGTTATAATAAATTGAACTAAAGTAGATCTAGATACCTCTGTTTCTCAAGAGAGAGTTTACATGAGGTTCATGTGGGATAAATACCTGCATTGATTCTTGATTTGACAAAATTGATTCTTGATTCGAGGTTGTGATTAGGATCTTGAGGGTTTGGATTTGGGTCAATCAGGACTGGTCTGGATCAAAAGGTTGTTCTTCTAGGCACAGTTGAGGGGATGATTGGCACTGACACAGGAAAAAGGTGATGACTTTAATCCAAGAGGGACTGACGACAACTGCCTAAACTTGCAGTTTCTTGCTATATTGAACTGATATGAAATTGAGACACTAGGTCAGAAGGTTATGAGAAAGCATCGCTTTTACTGCTGAGAACTTAACAAATGATTTACTCCCAGGTGTTAAAGTTGACAGTTATCTGACAAAATTTTATTGTGAAGATATTGTGTTATGATTTAGTTGTGTAAATAAATTACTTAGTTCAGAGTCTCGCACTACCCCCACAAAAAAAAAACAAACTCGGAAAATTTAATTTTTGATTATAATTTATTTTAGTAAGTATATTAATTTTGAAAACTTTGTTATATTTGATTTTTATGAAAGATTGTTTTTATATTATTTTTAGTATTCTGACTCAAAGAATATTACAACAGCCATAACTTATCCAGACAAGTGTCAAAATCTTAAAGTACATGGTAAAGCGAAAACCCATTATTGTCAATTAGAATGGGGTAAGTAGCAAAAAGGTTATAATGTAAAATTAGCTGTAAAATAATTGAAGTTTGAATATTCTAATAGTTTATAAAATTGTCAATTGCTGATGTATATGAATTCCATATACAGACAAATTAATTTAATTAATATAAACCTCGACATTAATAAAATTTAAATATTTATTCTTGATAGATTGTAAAAAATGAATAAAAAACAGAAAATAAAAAGTATTTCTAGCATATATTTAAATATCTGTAATTAATATTTTAAGAATTAAAATTTTATACCAAAAATAAAGTTTTACAATTTATATAAATAAGTTTAGTTATTAGAATTTATTCATGTAAATTATAAGTCAAACATGAGAATGAGCCTTCAAAAGGACTGAAATTATATTAAAAATTAGTTCCCAATGTAGGAAAAAATCTTGGGAAATTAAAGTTGTTTATTATAATGGAGAATTACAGTTGCTTTGAAGGACTTTGTATTGATTTTAAATTACAGTAGTATATATTATAAATTTGTTTTAATTATTGATGTTTTAATTGTCCAGTTTTACTGATGATTATTGTAAACAAAATGTAAATAGTCAATAAAATCATAAATACCATCTATTTTTATTTTATTAAGATTATAAATTTCTAAGAATTAAAATATATTTTAAATAATATATTTAACTTTTAGAAGTCTTTAACAGAATAGTAATCAATCATTTGTAAATTTCTTATGTTAGCTATTTTTGTAAACACTAAAATTATTTGGCACATAATAATAGTAAATGAATTGCAAGAATAGTTACAAAATTATCATAGTTTTAACATTTTATTTAAAAATATTTCATTTTAAAATAGTAAAAATAATATTTTGTATACTATTGAAAAAATGCTCTATTAATTATTCAAATATAACTTGAGAATGATTATAGTTTTAGCTGAAAACGTTAGTTTATTGGAATAAATTTTGCTGGATAAAGATGTATGTGTACTTTTAAATGAAATTTATTTGTAAAGATAATTTAAATCCGTCATTTCTTAAACTATGGAAAAGATCTTTATCCATGAATAAGATAGCAGTAACATTCTTACATATAATTGTTGTAATTATTTCATTATCAAATCTTAATCTGTAACAGGAATAAGAATGAAATAATTGCATTAAACAAATGATACTTCTGGATTTTGATTGGGTCATAATATGGCTAATTAATTATTAAGATATTTCATAATTTGGACTAAAAGCATGCATTTAATTATTAAATTAATTAATTTTAGAATATTTTTGAAGTAAAAGATTAATCTGGGGAGGGATTTGAACTTGCAACTTCTGCAATTACTTTACAAGATATAGCCATAAAGGTTATTTGCCATGCAGCGAGTGACTTGTATTGTTGTAACTTTTAAATTAATTGTTCTGCAATAAAGATCGGATAGAGGTCTGAGTAGTGTAATTGGCAATGCATCTGCACAGTAGGCGAAAGTTGTGGGTTCAAGTCATGTTTCAGATTGGTCTTTTCTTCAAGAATATTCTTAATTAATTTCTAATTATCAAGTTTAATACAAGATGGCAGCTTAACTGCATACCTTTACTCCAAATTATGTAATATCTTTATAATAATTAGTCATTTTATAGCCAATTAAAATTTGGCAATATCCTTTGTTTATAATTATATGTTGAGTTTGATTTTATATGTAATTAGTAAAGTTATCTAGGTACTAAAAATCATAAGTTTTATGTAAATAATAACTTATGATTTTTATTGCCTAGATATTCTAGCTTTAGTAATTATATATATGTATGTTTGTTTGCTTATTTATTTATGAGTATACAATTATATTTTATAGAGCATTTATTATGCAGGAATTTTTATTTGGATATTTTCAATTTAAAATTTTTAACAAACATTAATACAGTAGAGCGTCGTTTATCCGAAAGCTGGTTATCTGAAACGTCCGTTATCCTAAAGCATTCCAGTCGGCAAATTTAAATTTTCGCTAGTGCTGTGGCACTGCAATCTTCGGCTATTTCTCAGGCTACTCAAATATTTTATGTTTTTGATACTAAATTAACATCTGAAGTATAATGTTTTATTGTTTTTATATTTTTCAATAAATTTATTTTGTTTGTACAAAATAAAAAAATAATTTTTAACGATACAATAGTCTTCATTAGGCTTAACATCGACGAAAATTCAACGCGAAGCGACACGCAACATAGAAAAATGTCAAAATGGGATAAATTAATATATTTTTTCGTACATGATTCGTTATCCGAAAAATAAGTTATTCAAACTACCCCAGTCCCCAATTGATTCGGATAAATGACGCTCTACTGTATTTTTTATTTTTATTAAATTTAATATTTTATTCAAAACTTTATTTTTAGCACCACCAAATTTTAATGGTGGTTCTCCTGTCTCTCAATATGAAGTTCAGATGTTAACTTCAGATGGTTCCAGCAAACAAGTTTATGTTGGATTTGACTCGATGTGTACCATAGCTGGTCTATTGCCAAATACTATATATATGTTTAAAGTACGAGCCTTTAATAAAACAGGAGTAAGTTTTTACTTTATTTTAAGCATAATATTTACATACAATAAACATATGTATATACTTTTATATTTATATTAGCAGATAAAAGACAATGAGGAATGGTGAAATTTTATACATAAATTATATAATGTAGTGAATAAGAAATTAAAAATAATTAATTTTCAATTAAATTATTATATCAAACATCCACTCTGTTTTTCAACAACTGTTTTAAATATTAATATTGTATTATTATTTTTTAAAATCCATAATTCTTGCATTCATGTTTTTTTGAATAATGGATTTATATGTATTAATATATTTACCTTAACATGTACTGTACATACAAAATTTACATATACAGTATTTAAATTATTGCATTAACATTTAATAATTTTTTCTATAATTCTACTATTATAGAATTCTACTTAAATTCTTTTGAATTCTTGCAATATTATTCAACGTTTTACCTTATTGTTAGTCTGAAGTCGTCTGTATCATTTGGGAGTTTTCTTCTATAATAGTTATAAGTGTATTATGAATTCAACTAGGTAGATCATTAGGCTTTGTAGTCTAGACAATCTTAAAATTTTCAAACTGTCTTTATCTACTAGTGTTAAGATTCCTGCTGATGCTTCATAGTTGCCATAATAATTTGGAATATTAAATTTTTACTATATTACTTTCCAAACAAATGATTTGATGTTATTAAGCAGAAAGATATTCTTGGCATGTAAAGATACATCATTATGAATGAAACTGATATTAGTGAAATGAATTGAATTTACTATGTCACTGTTTGTAATATTTATGAAATTTGAAAGAACATGTTTTGAAATTATATTTTCTTTTTAAGATCTTGTAAATTAAAATACTCCATTTACATTATTTATTTATGTTATATGAAAGTATAAGTTATAAATTGTAAAAAAGCCAATAATTATTTGCATGTTGCTGTTCCTTTGCATATAATTTTTGTTTACTGATTATCAAAGAAGACATGAGCTTAAGCAATTTTATTTTATGTTTTTGAAATATTTTGAAGCTGAAGCCACAAAGATGCTTTAAAAACATTTTCTTTGTTTATGTTGTCTTATTATTATTAATTATCAGTCAATCTTTATTTGATATAATGAGTGTTATTACAAAGGGGGTTAAAAAAATTGTTATTTTAAGCTTGATACTTGAACAAAGAAATTATATAATTTATACAAAGTCAGCATTGCTAACTTTGTATAAATTACAGGTAACCCCCGTATAACACGGTAGTTATGTTCCAAAAAATTGCCGTGTTATGCGAATCCGTGTTATGCGAAACAAAGAACTGGTACGAAAAGGAGGGTTAGATTTCGAAAATTAAAAAACATGCTACTATATTTTCATAATTAAGATAAATATCTTCATTAAAATTTTTTTAAGTGATACATATTAATATAAATTAAACAATGTTTTCTTCGTCATCACTAAAAACACTATTAATTAACCGAGAGCGTTTTCTTTTTGGCAAGTTATCCTTATCCTCTGAGCATTTTTCTGCATTATCTTCAGATCCATGCTTTACCTTTTGCAAAATGTATGTAATTTTAGATTGCTTGCTTCTAGTTAAAAGGTCTTTATAAATTTCCTTATATGGTGCTAAGCACTTATGAAGAATAAAGCAAGTATGGAATAAGGGAAAAACATTCGGCAACATCAGAAGCAGAAGCGTCGCGATCTGGCAACATTGAAACAAGTTTCGAGAAGGACCACGTGTATCGACAGAAGGCGAGAAGAGAAAATTTACATACTTAAGTACTAATAGTTCACGAAAATTATTATTTTCGTGAACTATTACTACTTAAGTATGTAAAAATTTATTACATTTCATGTTGTACGAGGGTTTTACCCATTTCTTGAACCGTGTCAGAGTGAACCCGTGCTATAAAAGTACCGTGTTATACGGGGGATGGTACCAATTCTCGAACCGTGTTAGAGTGAATCCGTGCTATAGATGTGCCGTGTTATACGGGGGTTACCTGTATATACAAAGTTAACATGACTAACATGACTACAAGGGAGTACATTTTAAATTTTCACCAAGTTGTTCATTATTTTTGATTAAAAATTCTGATCACTGGTTAGTTTTGTCTGTTCTTAATTAAATAATCAAATAAATTTTGTAACCAAATAATGCTAAGTTTAATTAATTTGATGTAATAATTTTTTAGCCTGGGCAATGGACGAGTATGCTAGAAGTGTTGAGTGGAGCTGGTCCTCCAGATTCGCCAAAGATTTCATTGGAGTGCCATTCTTCTTCAACTGCCAAGTTATCATGGGATGAACCAAATAATAATGGAGCTCCATTAATTGAATATAATTTAGAGTTTAGTCAAGACAAAGAGAATTTTACAAAGGTAAATAATTCAATAATTTAAATGAAATAGATAAAATACTAAATTTTATCTAGTAGTTTGTTATATATATAGTAAGACCCCACTTAATGCTGCCTTGCTTAACGCTGATTTGATATAATGCAGTCTGCTCGAAGCCCAAAATTTTTGTTGATTTAAATTATCATGGCATTTCATTGATTCATATATAATATGGTTATTTGTGAACACAAACCAATCAGCAAAAGGTGGCAAAAAGGTGTACTTTCTTTAAATCTTTGTTTGTTTGGTGCAATTTTGGAAAAAATATAATATCATGGATGCTATAGGAAATATCAACTTTGTTTGGCAAGAATTAACTGATAAATGCACGAACGAATTGTGGAAGAAGTTATGGCTGAAGGTATCCAAGAATTCTCAACGAGAAGAGCCAATCACTGTATTGTAAGGTTGACCAAACTCAACCTAATTGATATAGCAGGACTAGGAGATATAGACAGGATATTGAGGAGAGCCTTACGATGACCTTCAAGAACTGGCAGAACATGGAATTCATGTGGAACTGGAAAATAGAGATTCTGAAAATGAAGAACCCAAAAAATTTCTGTACAGATTTCCTTATTAAAAGTTTGGTAAGATAGCCAAAATCGTTGATCAAATTGTAGCGAATGATCTAGATTTTGAAAGGAGTGCAAAAGCAAAATGAGGCGTTTTAGATGCAATCTTCCACTACTGACATTTGCTCAAGGAAAGAAAAAGCAACAAATGAAACTTCATGACTTTATTGCAAAAGAACAAGAATTTCAGAAAAGTCAGGATCTTCACAAAAAATGAACTTTACATTTCTGTGTGCATATGTTTGTGTTATTTAACATACATTATTATACAAATTAATATAAAAATAACTTAAAATTAAAGTAAAACTTGTTTAATTTTGGTTGTATGTTCCCCTAGCCCTATTTACTGTGTTAAAATTACCTCATTTAATGCTGTCTCGCCTAGCACTTTGTTGTCTAGGAATGCATCCCCTGTGTTAAGCAGGCTCTTACTTTATATATATGTGTTACTGTGAATGACGGATATCTAGTGAATGTCAACATTCTCCGGTGAATGTCAGCATTCACACAGTCGTTTCGTGTATATACGAAATATTTGCTAAATATCATTATTTCTCACTTACACCAGCAAATGTCGACATTCATCATGCACTGATGGTGAATGTTGAATAAAAATATTTTTATTACCTTAAGACAAAAATGCAACTTTTTAATATGTCAAAATAGGAGAAAGCTTAAGTAACAGCAATGTAAATAAACTGTTCAACCTAAAATGAACAGTGCATTCTAAATCATTAAAGAAAATAATACAATAATAAACTTACACACAAATTATGTGGTTAATGTTATACAATCTTTTTTCTTAATAAAAAGACAGTTGTTTCCAAAAAAATTTTCTGGCCGATTACCATGTGATTTTTGTCTTTTTATTAAAAAATATTTNAAATTGAATAAACTATTATATTTGTAGGTTTTGAAAAAAGATTTAATGGGTTGCAGACAGAATATGTTCTTGAGAATCTTCAACCTGGTACCACATACTCTTTAAGGGTTGCCTGCCAAAATGCAAGAGGACAAAGTGAAGTATGTTTGTAAATTTTATTCTATTTAAATTACAAATGGAGAATAATGTGATATAAAAAAAAAGTGATATAAAGTAATAATGTGATATTAAAAAAAGTTAACATTCTAGTTAAAACTGATTATTAGATATTATCAGGAAAAATCAGTTTTAAATAATTAGATATTGCAAGGAGATTGCAATTTTTAACTAGAAGTCTATTTTTACAAATGCATTATATAAATATGAGTAAACTTTTATTAATATTTTGAATATTATTTAACCTCTAACAGTGAAATATTCTTAATGTTTTAGTAAAGCTAAATTTTAGCTTTCTGAAATTAAATATTTTTCAATGTCTCTTTAATTTCTTAATTAAAAATTTCAGAATTAAAAATAAATTGAACTTTTGGTAGTGCCTCACAATTACTATAATTGTGAGCATGCATACTTTTGAACATTTTTTATACTTTTTTGAACATGTGTTATATGCCTGTTTTTGGATGGATTAGAACAAACTGTCTCAAAATATTGGAGTATGTAGGTGAATGCTATCAGAATTTTTAAATGACACAACATAAACAATGAATCAATATGCATTCTGTATTAAACTTTACTGAAATATTTACTTTACTTAAAGAAACATGTAGTAATGACATGTTGTGTAAGCAAGTGGCCTAAATGTGTTCAAGAAGACTGTGAAAGCAAAAGAAAATTCCAGGTAGACCAGCTCATGAACTGCAAGAAATAAAACTGATTTTCTCAGTTCACAAAGAGATCAAGAAAGACCATAGACAATCAATAGGTTATCTTATTGATATTTTGGAAATTTTGCATGGTTCTGTGCACACTATTCTTCATGATGACTTAAAAATACATTAGTCTGTTCTCACATTATTCTGAAGAAGTTAACAAATGAGTGATGTGAAGAACAGGCCCTCAGCAAGGAACTGATTGACAAACCTAGATATCTTAAATAAAATTATTGATTACTGGCATTGAAAACCCAGAGTTTCTTGTATGATCTATGGAGGAAATGAGCATCATCAACATTCATTAACAAATTGACTTCTTAATCAAGGCAGAAAAATTTCATCTTGACAGATCCAAGAGGAAAACAATGCCTGTAGTTTTTTTATGTGAAAAGCCTAGTGTTTTAGGAGTTTGTTTGTGTTGGTAGATTCATTAACAAGGAGTCCTATATTGACATTCTTGGTTAGCTCCATGATGCAGTAAGTGTGCTCTGCATCATGGAGCTCACTGTAGCAAGCAAAAAGCTAGGTTCTCCATTGTGACAATGCCCTAGTGCACTAAACTTTTCTAGTGAAAATCTGGCAGAACAACAGATGCCTGTATTTCCACAGTCTCCTTAAATGCCAGACTTCATTCTTGCAGACTATCATGTTTTCACCAAAATAAAGGCTCAGTGATTGACCACTAAAAATTGACCACTGAAGGGTCAATGATTAAAATTAATAGAAGAGGTGAAAAATGCTACAACAATTGAAGTAATGCAGAATTGGTTACAATATTGCTTTAATATTAATAAATAGTATGAATGTTAGCAAAAATGTGTAGCTGCAGAACATGCTTATTTTGAAGACAGTCTTTTATAAATACTTACATACTATTGACATAATACGTCATATTAAAGGTTTGATTATTTTTCACTTTACTGTGACCAGAGGGTTGGCACCTCTGATGCCCTGTCAGGAATGACACCACTGTGTTCTGATGGATGTGGAAGCCATGACAGCGAATCGGTTTGGATTAGAGTAGGTCACGCGAGCAGCCGTGAGTGAGCCATCAGATTCAGGATGGAGATAGCAGATAGGAAGTGACTAATGCAGAGACGAGGTTAACAAAACAGATAACTGTTTATTTGTAAAGGAAAATACATTTTATATCATTAAATGAGTTATAATAAATTGAACTAAAGTAGATCTAGATACCTCTGTTTCTCAAGAGAGAGTTTACATGAGGTTCATGTGGGATAAATACCTGCATTGATTCTTGATTTGACAAAATTGATTCTTGATTCGAGGTTGTGATTAGGATCTTGAGGGTTTGGATTTGGGTCATTCAGGACTGGTCTGGATCAAAAGGTTGTTCTTCTAGGCACAGTTGAGGGGATGATTGGCACTGACACAGGAAAAAGGTGATGACTTTAATCCAAGAGGGACTGACGACAACTGCCTAAACTTGCAGTTTCTTGCTATATTGAACTGATATGAAATTGAGACACTAGGTCAGAAGGTTATGAGAAAGCATCGCTTTTACTGCTGAGAACTTAACAAATGATTTACTCCCAGGTGTTAAAGTTGACAGTTATCTGACAAAATTTTATTGTGAAGATATTGTGTTATGATTTAGTTGTGTAAATAAATTACTTAGTTCAGAGTCTCGCACTACCCCCACAAAAAAAAAACAAACTCGGAAAATTTAATTTTTGATTATAATTTATTTTAGTAAGTATATTAATTTTGAAAACTTTGTTATATTTGATTTTTATGAAAGATTGTTTTTATATTATTTTTAGTATTCTGACTCAAAGAATATTACAACAGCCATAACTTATCCAGACAAGTGTCAAAATCTTAAAGTACATGGTAAAGCGAAAACCCATTATTGTCAATTAGAATGGGGTAAGTAGCAAAAAGGTTATAATGTAAAATTAGCTGTAAAATAATTGAAGTTTGAATATTCTAATAGTTTATAAAATTGTCAATTGCTGATGTATATGAATTCCATATACAGACAAATTAATTTAATTAATATAAACCTCGACATTAATAAAATTTAAATATTTATTCTTGATAGATTGTAAAAAATGAATAAAAAACAGAAAATAAAAAGTATTTCTAGCATATATTTAAATATCTGTAATTAATATTTTAAGAATTAAAATTTTATACCAAAAATAAAGTTTTACAATTTATATAAATAAGTTTAGTTATTAGAATTTATTCATGTAAATTATAAGTCAAACATGAGAATGAGCCTTCAAAAGGACTGAAATTATATTAAAAATTAGTTCCCAATGTAGGAAAAAATCTTGGGAAATTAAAGTTGTTTATTATAATGGAGAATTACAGTTGCTTTGAAGGACTTTGTATTGATTTTAAATTACAGTAGTATATATTATAAATTTGTTTTAATTATTGATGTTTTAATTGTCCAGTTTTACTGATGATTATTGTAAACAAAATGTAAATAGTCAATAAAATCATAAATACCATCTATTTTTATTTTATTAAGATTTTAAATTTCTAAGAATTAAAATATATTTTAAATAATATATTTAACTTTTAGAAGTCTTTAACAGAATAGTAATCAATCATTTGTAAATTTCTTATGTTAGCTATTTTTGTAAACACTAAAATTATTTGGCACATAATAATAGTAAATGAATTGCAAGAATAGTTACAAAATTATCATAGTTTTAACATTTTATTTAAAAATATTTCATTTTAAAATAGTAAAAATAATATTTTGTATACTATTGAAAAAATGCTCTATTAATTATTCAAATATAACTTGAGAATGATTATAGTTTTAGCTGAAAACGTTAGTTTATTGGAATAAATTTTGCTGGATAAAGATGTATGTGTACTTTTAAATGAAATTTATTTGTAAAGATAATTTAAATCCGTCATTTCTTAAACTATGGAAAAGATCTTTATCCATGAATAAGATAGCAGTAACATTCTTACATATAATTGTTGTAATTATTTCATTATCAAATCTTAATCTGTAACAGGAATAAGAATGAAATAATTGCATTAAACAAATGATACTTCTGGATTTTGATTGGGTCATAATATGGCTAATTAATTATTAAGATATTTCATAATTTGGACTAAAAGCATGCATTTAATTATTAAATTAATTAATTTTAGAATATTTTTGAAGTAAAAGATTAATCTGGGGAGGGATTTGAACTTGCAACTTCTGCAATTACTTTACAAGATATAGCCATAAAGGTTATTTGCCATGCAGCGAGTGACTTGTATTGTTGTAACTTTTAAATTAATTGTTCTGCAATAAAGATCGGATAGAGGTCTGAGTAGTGTAATTGGCAATGCATCTGCACAGTAGGCGAAAGTTGTGGGTTCAAGTCATGTTTCAGATTGGTCTTTTCTTCAAGAATATTCTTAATTAATTTCTAATTATCAAGTTTAATACAAGATGGCAGCTTAACTGCATACCTTTACTCCAAATTATGTAATATCTTTATAATAATTAGTCATTTTATAGCCAATTAAAATTTGGCAATATCCTTTGTTTATAATTATATGTTGAGTTTGATTTTATATGTAATTAGTAAAGTTATCTAGGTACTAAAAATCATAAGTTTTATGTAAATAATAACTTATGATTTTTATTGCCTAGATATTCTAGCTTTAGTAATTATATATATGTATGTTTGTTTGCTTATTTATTTATGAGTATACAATTATATTTTATAGAGCATTTATTATGCAGGAATTTTTATTTGGATATTTTCAATTTAAAATTTTTAACAAACATTAATACAGTAGAGCGTCGTTTATCCGAAAGCTGGTTATCTGAAACGTCCGTTATCCGAAAGCATTCCAGTCGGCAAATTTAAATTTTCGCTAGTGCTGTGGCACTGCAATCTTCGGCTATTTCTCAGGCTACTCAAATATTTTATGTTTTTGATACTAAATTAACATCTGAAGTATAATTTTTTATTGTTTTTATATTTTTCAATATATTTATTTTGTTTGTACAAAATAAAAAAATAATTTTTAACGATACAATAGTCTTTGTTAGGCTTAACATCGACGAAAATTCAACGC